GAAATGTTGCTAATAATCGCTAATTGCACAGGAAAAGTGCGTCCACAGGTGCGGCAAGTACAGTACGTCAAAGTGACACTGAAGTTCACCTTTATTTTCTCTTCTAAATAAGTCTGGCCTGCCAGGAGGTTTGTTTACAACCTAAATCAGTGTGTTTACATGCACTAAAGGTTACAGACGACTGTCTCCAGTAAACCTGGTTTAAATAGGGAAACATGGTTTACATAATGGAGCTAGGGGATTAGGGAGACCTGGTACATTTCTCCTGCAGAACACTTTTCTTTTTTTCTGGTGTTACCAGATTTCGAGTAACTAACTACAGTGCTTTTATTACTAATAGAAACAATGACCAACACTTGGGACATTAGATCCATCTCATAATAAACCAGTTGTTGACTGGTTTGTGTGCTGGAGCTGAGCAGCCTGTCAGCCTGTCACATCTTTGCTGACTGATGGTCCGGAGTGGGTAACTGTGGGAGGAAATATCCTCAGGAGTACATTATGATAGTTTATGGCCTCATTATGAATCCTGGAACGAGAACACGCTGATGGAGACAAACAAGCCTCAGCACTCGAATGGACGAGTGCTGTGCTGCATGTACACTCTGTGTAACCTCCATCCATCCTCATCCTGGTGGGACACAGTGACGTGTGTGCAACCATAATAAGTTTCAGTGTCCATCTTCTAAGAACATTTCATTTCATGTCATGTCTGTTAAATTACTGTAAAACTTTGCTGCAATAAACTTTCTATCAAGTCTCCTGAACATATGGGCTGAAACTAATGCATGAATTAATGCTCTGCTCTGGGCAACAAAACAAACAAACAAAAACAAAATGAAGCAAAAAAACACAACAAAGACGAAGCAAAAGCAAAAAGAACTTCAGGCTAGACAGACATGTTGCTCAAACCTTCTCAGTGGCCAAGTCAAACCTCCCATCCACTACATTTTACCTTTACACTGAAAGTCTACAACATATTTGTAACAGCTTCACTGTTTTAATCCAGCGTTGTTTTTGGCTGCAGCAGGTCTCTAAAAACCCCACTGTTCACCCAGCAGCAAACAGCAGACATGCGGATTTAGCAACAGCTGCTATTGCTAACATTAGCTACGTAGCAATAGCAAAACTTATAAATAGCGGCTTTAACTCTGACCTCTTCTTCTGCAGCTGATTGGAGAATCGGCACTAACTGATTCTCTCAATGCACCAACTCCTAATATATGGATGGGAATTTAAATTCATTTAAGTATGTGGCGTTTACTGTAAAATGTCGCTGTCACACTTATTTCAAGCACCTTTTCCACACCTCTAACTTCTCCACTTTCCTGCCATTATAAAAAGGTAAAGTCTTTGCAGGTATTACTGCGGTGTGTTCGACAGTGTGTAAGAGAGACTCGCACTCTCAGTTCAGGAGATTGCTCCTTTCTGCTCCTCTATTGTGGTGGTAATGGGAAACATATCACAGAGTTTAATCAAGAGGCTGAACTGGTGAGCGGGGAGAGAGAGAGAGGAGAGTTGAGAGGGAATAATTGAGACACGAGGAGAATCTGTGACAATTGAGAGAATTATTGATGAAGATACACGAGGCAAAAAAAAAAGAAAAGAAGCTAGAAAATATGACAAAGAAAAGAAAATATAGAAAGAAAGGAACTGATGATTGAGCGATGAAAAGAGGGAGGGTAGTCTACCTGAGGGAGAGACGCTGAGAGAGACTGTGTCATGGGGATGAAAAGCCCCTCTCATTATTTTCCAGTCCACCAGGCAGCTGATTTCTGTTTTAGCTACAGGGCTCAGCAGTTCAGCACCGCTCCACTGTTTCCTGTCCCTCAGAGTAAAGCTTCAAAATATGGCTTAAATAATCACACTGTAACGTCTCCAGAATGTATAAGTCAAATCTCAGTGACTGCCTGAAATGCATCATTAAATGTCATTAAATAATTTCTTATAAAAAAATGAAAATACCTTGAAAAACACTATAATTAGTTAACGATTCGTATTGATTTTGTAAAAAAAAAACAAAAGTTGCGTAATTCATTTAATTACATGATAAAGTAAGAGGAAGTGAGGAAAATGCCTGAGAGGAACATTTGCTGTACTCAGATGGAAATAAACAACTTTAAACCCAGAGATAAGGAAGGAAAGACAGACAGAAGGAGAGAGGGATGGTAGAAAAATGAAAGGAGAGATGTCATAGAAGCTCACTGGTCACTATGATGCTATGGTTAAATAATGACAAAGGAAACAAGCCCAGAGACTGGGATAGTGTGTGAAATATACAGTACATGTGTGATGTTGTTGAAGATGACACAGGGTCACAAAGGGGGAAATGCCAAAACAAGAAAATGAGGGGAGGAAATGAGAGATATGAGGAGGATTGGGGGATAGGGGTGGGGATAACAGAGAAACAGGGAGGAGAGGAAAAAACAAAGGAAAGGAAAGGAAAGGAAAGGAAAGGAAAGGAAAGGAAAGGAAAGGAAAGGGTTGCAAGATAAAAAGTAGCTCTTTTGTAGAGGTTAGTTGTTCAATATTTACACAAAGCTAGCTTAATATGTGACCACATACTGACATAACTGACCTGACGAATGTTTGAAACAATGTTTAATAACTATGTCATATGTTATAGTGTGAAATGGGCCACATCCGGGGAGCGGATGTGATAAAATTGCTGTTTATGTGACGACTTGAAGCTGGGAAGTAGGACAGTGTGTCACCCTGAGGAGCTCACCTGCATCAACCTGCAGTGATCGCTGTCGGTCGCTAATTTAGTATAGCATCTCCTATAACATAGAACAGCTGAGGCAGCAGAAATAGAGATATCCTCTTTTTATTCCATGCATTCTTCATCCTCAAAACCTGGGGCCTACATTACCCAGAATGCAACTCAGCCGCCGTCAACTGTGCCGCGTTCACGTCACGTGTAAGGTAAGGAGGTGATGGTTAAATTCCCATGTTTACAACGATCGTGGGACAACTCAAGACGACAGCTGTCAGTCTTCTTCTGCTAATGCTTCTCTGTCATTAGTGGAGATTTCCAGCTTCCTTAATCAATGAACACTAACGAAGCAAAATAGAAACAAACAAACACAAACATACAAAGGCCACATTTCTTCAAAGAACATCACAGCAACTACAGCAAGTACAAACAGTACAAACTTAAAAACCTGCACTAACAGCTGCTGTACAGGAGTGTGATTTGAATATTGTGTAATAATATTGAGTGATCGTTCACTGTCTGTCTCTTCATCACACCCCCAGATCTTTTTTTCATTTCCAAACTTTAAGTCTTCAGACTCAACCGACGCTGACATTTCCTTTGTAGACACAAAAGCCTTTATTTAACTTCTTCAGACCTTTAAACAGGCTTTGATGTGTATTTCCTCTTTCAGATCTACAGTGTCTCGGCTCAACTTTCAAACTGTGACAAAGAATGTCAACAATAACCCGGGTTAGGTTACAGCTCCTGGTGCTACAGATGTTTTCATTACTAAGATCTTTACTATGTAGGACATTCTTTTAAGGATAGCTTCACTTTTTTTTTTAGACAGAATTTCCTGTTTGTGTTTGAGGGAAGGAGGGAAAGGATACCCAGCTAAACTCTCATATTACTCAAAAACTCATATTCTTCTGCCGGATTTTATAATGCAATTTTGCACAGGATGAGGACTTTGGATTTTGTATCCACCTCTTATATTGTAGTCGTACTGGGAAGGGACAATATGGAAAGGAAGAATGATTAAAGTGACCAATAGTAAGACCTTAGGAAGGACTTTGCTCGAAAGGAGAAGAAGAAGGCAAAGGAGAGAACAACAAGAACAGAGACAGCAGATCAGGAGGCAAGAAGAAGAGAGAGCAGATCTGGGTGGAGGTGAAAGAGCATAGATAAAGGTGGCAGCGAGACACAGTCTAGAGACAGAGATTAAGCTGCACCGGAGCTAAACAGAGACCAGATAAGGAGCAAATGAGAGTGGGCAGGCAGAGCATTTAGAGATTCAGAGAGTAAAGGAATGAGAGAAAGGAGAGAAAGGAGAGTGTGGCTCAAGGGTAAGAAAGAAGTGAGTCTCACTGAGAGAGAATAAAAGAGTGAAAGTGGAGAGCATGATTAAAACGACCGTTCCTGAATCTCTACGAGCATTAATAAAGCAGCTAATGCACGTCTGTGAGACTCTTTCTCCGGGCGTTGCTTTGCTTGCGGTCACACGGCTGCAGTGTGGATACTATCTGCCCTTAATAACAGGCGCAGCTTTTCATTTCAGAATTCATTCCCGTCATTTCAGGAGAAGGACGTGGCCTCCCTCCCGCTCTCCCCCTCTCTCCCTCATGCATTATAAATACCCCATTACAACTTGTTGACTTGCTCTCCGCAGGCCCTGTGGCATGTTGACGGACCACTCTGCAGACAAAACTAATCAACAGCATCATCATTAGGCGCACCAATGGACAGGCAACCTGCACTGATTGGGTTATTTCACCACATCATGTGGCCCGAGGCCTCTGTCTGAACCCGCCGTCTGATGGTTCGCGATCTATTGCGACCAAACTCAACTGGGTTAAGCTAATAGCCCTAATCTAATGCTGCTGAAGTCACACACAGATACCCCGAGGATCGCCGAGTCTCATTCTCCTCGTCTCCAGATCACATAACAATTAGTCTTCCAGCCCGCGCTGCAGCCGGAGTGCAGCAGGAAGTGGCGGGCCCGGGCAGGCCTCTGATCGGAGGCCTCTGGAGAGGAGGCGAACGCCAGCTGGCAGTGAGCGCAGGCCAGACAGCCAGGCTCAGTCGCACAGATCTGAGGGACAATACAATGCTGGCACACACAGTCTGCTTGCTCTCATTTGGGATGTGAGTCTGTGTATGACAGCATGTGCATGTGCATGTGCATGTGCATGTGTGTGTGTGTGCATGTGTGTGTGTGTGTGTGTGTGTGTGTGTGTGTGTGTGTGTGTGTGTGTGTGAGTGTGTGTGTGTGTGTGCTATTTTAGACTTGACAGTAGCTTACTTTAAGCAGATCCTTGGGAAAATCTTGGCCGTTGTTCAGTCCCTCCAGGTTGCCAATGAACTGTGTGCACGACATCCTCTTGCCAATGTTCTGGAAACACAGAAATAATTAGAAATGCACTTTTATTTCATGCTAACACATTCCTCATACACAACCTGCCCCCTTCATGTGGTCTATTTCAATTAACTTTTTATCCCATTTTCATTTCTAATTTAAAAGCTTTCACTTTTCTCTATGAAAAGGTCTTACAGCCTGCCTATGAAGAGAGAATTATTTATTTATTTATATTTATTAAGAGAGAAAATGAAGTGAATGATGAATTAAAAGAGCAGGCAGTTAAGCCCAGTCATGGTCTCAAATGTGAACACAGACTGGAGAGATTTAAATAGAAGCAGTTTGGAGGTCAAATAAACAAAAACAACAAAGATGATGATGGTTAATATAAAATGATTGGTCAGTGGAGTTCTGCAGTTGGGGTGGGACGGAACAGCTAAATATTTAAATAAACTATCAGGGTGCTCGTTGCATGGTCATATTTATAATCCTGTTTACTTATTCTTTGATCAGACAGTGTAAATCAGACAAATAACAGAAATCTAAATTTTATATCAATTTTATTCAAACAAAATTCTTGTACTGCTACTTGTGTTTAGACATTTAAACACAATATTTTAAAAACAATAAGTTGTCAAAGTGAGGTATACGATAATGTTTGATATCGATTCTGAATTTCAGGGATTATATTGACACTACAGTTGCCAAATTTCAAATTATACCTAATTAAGCAATTAGAATGCTGAAAATTTGATAATAAAGTAATAATTCATTACATTTATGAAATAAATCCTCAACAGTAGCACCTTCCAGCTCCTCAAATATGAGGATTTGCGTCTTTTCTTTGTTGGCTGGACAAATCAAGCAGTTTGAAGGGGCTCAGGGACATTATGATTGGCATTCTTCACAATTTTCTGTTTTTAAAAAAAATAAGATTAATAAAAAGATAATCGACCTTAATCCTGTTTAAAATGCCACAGCCTGTATCACTCAGCATCTTCTCTCATTGAGACGATCGCAGTCACAACAAAAGTCAAACTTAAATCAGTTGAAACTTTCCTGATTTGCCCCCCCCCCCCCAAAAAAAAGCTGATCCTCCGTCCAGTAACCTCTATAGTCACTTGAATTAATCATTCATCCACAGAGCTACACTATCACTGAGATGAGCCCCCAATGGCCCAGATTTGCAAAAGGAGGCTCTGACTGTAACAGTAACAGATTAATGATGGTGAAAGAAGCTCAGCAGACGGACCTGCAGACCCAGATCAGCTGGTGATCGGGCTGAGTCTTATACTTTCTAAACTCCAGAGTTTTTTAAGAACTGCATTCTCCTCAAAGGCCCTTTTAATACTTTACTATAAAGTAGATTCTCCTTTACACACTGATGTACACATTCACACACATGAACACACACACACCACTCACCTGGCCATGTAGATCAGTGTTCAGCAGCATTAGGGCACAGGTGAGAGTGTGAACTGCATCTAAAGGATGAAAACAGTGTGTTAGCTTCCTCACTTAAATATAAAACTAGTTTTGTTTTTAGCTTCCTCACATTAGCCACTTTTTTACTTACACCAAGCTAAAACGAATAAAATAACTGTAAATGATCCAAAATGATTAACTTTAGCGTTTCAAGGTGCTGCACATTGTGTAACCCTCGAAACTGTTGACCATGAGGGTAATTAAATGAGTCCATGCTAAGTTAACAGATGATGTTGCTGCGCTAGCTAAGAATACCCAGCCTGATAGATAGAAACTATTTTAATGGCTTACAAGACAGAACTGAGTATAATAAAACATTAGTGACATTTAGAATTGTATTATTCTTAAGCTTGTTTCGGATAAAAGTGAAAACTTCTGTTGGCTGTTTTGTTGCATCCCCTTGAGACCACAAACCAATGCACATTTTTGGTGTTGACCATTATCTTAATTAAATTAATCCATGCTAATTCAACAGATGTTGTGAATACACTACAGTTAGTTACAGTATATTTAATTATCATAAAGTGGTAAACAGATCTGTTAGTTCTATATTAGCTAACAGATAGCTAATGTTAGCTAGCTTTCACCACGACAGTGAGTTCTTTACATTTGTTTTATAACTTTAGTTACTATGGTAACTGTAAAGATTCAGATTAATAATACAAAATATAATCAACAAATAAATGATGGTGATGTATTATTATAGGTTAATTAAACGTTACTATGTCAGGTTATTTATAGGTTATTAAATAAAGGTGTTGCACCATAATACATTATGCCTAATTATAAATCAATAATATAATTTATATTATTCTTAAATGAGCCTTTCTGCAAAATAAGTACTTGTACTTTTGGTACTTTAAGTACGTTTTGAAGCTTAGAATTTTGTACCTATTATTGTTGTATATGATTAATTATTTTTATAATGAATTACTAAATTAAATAAATAAATACATTTTTGAATGCCTGGCTTTTACCTTTAACAGAGTATTTCTCCACTGTGGTATTGATACTTTTAGTTAAGTAAAAGATCTAAATACTTCTTCAATCACTGCCTTGAAACTACAACTCAATGCATATTTCAATTTAATGTGCATTGTTTAATGTTTCATGTGTATAAGTCACTGTCCTTGAGTAATGTCCACTAATGTATAGTACATTATTTATGATGCACGCTGTCTTCAAACACCAATTCCTCTTCCAACATTGGAATCCAGGCTCAGTACTTAAAGATGGCCAGACATATTAAATATTCAGGGCAAGATTTTGTTATTTTTTCACTGCGGGTAGTGAGAGCACTTCCCTGCAGTACTCACCCTCTGATGGCATGACTTTGGGGTTGCAGTCCAGGTAACGCCTAGAAAAGTGTGACAACACCCTCTCCCTCTCCTGAGTCTCCCCCATCAGGGCAAACTGCCTGAGGAAGGTCCTGCAGCCACAAACACAAGGACAGCCAGATCCAGACCACATGTTTATCTATTACAGATTAAAGATGACCTGGTTTAAATCATAATAACATTATAGTCAACTAGAAAAATGTCATATAAAACATAAGCATTCAGAACTATTCAGGAATTTAAATCAAATTTTAATATGTAATTACTTTATGTGATGAATAAAATTATGATAAATAAAATGATCATTTTATGTAATCAGATGTAATTAGTTGCAAGAGATGGAAAGCAACTAGGTAAAAATATAATAAGCCCTGTACTTAAGTACAGTTTGAGGTACTTCTACTTTTTTAAGTGTTTATATAGTATGATGAATTTGTACAATTGTACAACTACCCAACAAAATATAAAATATTATACTATATGTTATATATTATATATATTATATATAACAATGTGACAGGAGTCTACATAATGGATACTTTTACTTTTCCTTCTATTGAGGAAAAAGCAGATCTTAAAACTCATGGCAGATGTTGTTCCTCAGCAAATGTATAAATCTGAAGGTGAGTAAAACGTGTATAGGATGTAGGATGCAAGCTCAGTGTGAGTAATGTCTGAGTGTATACGGTTACTTAGATACTGTGCTAACTGTCACTCTGATTGCAGGACCAAAGTTGCCCTCCAGGGGGAAGCGTTTCACAGTGGAGAGCTTTCACCACATACTAATCAAGACAGTATTAAGACATCAAAAGTGCAGCTTTTCATCTGATTGAGGCAACCATAGCAACCATAACACAGACACAATAATTCTGTGTGAAAAATCATGTCAGGTGACAAAAATATACTAAAAGTTCAACCAGAGACACAATTTAAAAATGTAAACATTTATTCTTTAACCATAAAAGTATATTATTTTTTGGAAAATGCAACAACTTTCAAACAAAACCTGGTTGTTTGACTCACACACATTTGACATTTTGCAGTTATTTAACATTATACTGTGTGATAAGCAAGCTGGCAGGGAATATTTAACTGTCTTGTCTTCACTTCACATAAGAAATATATTGAATATGTGTGTGTATCGTAATTATAGGTATTTAAAAATGACCAGTTACATAACTATTTATATTTAATGTATTGTACTATGAGTCCTCACCGCAATGCCTGGTCAAGAGCGAGGCCTGTAAAGTTGAAGAAACTCAGATACTCCTCTGCGACCATACGGCTGAAGTCATTACTGTAGATACACAGAAAAAAAAAATATATATGCTATAAAATAACATATAAGGAGGAATATATGAATAATAGACAAAGAACATAGGGAGAAGACACAAAATTTAAAAAAATTCCAGCAACCATAAAAGCGCAAATTGTCAATCAAACGTTCAAATGGCAGCTTTCTCAGTTCAGTGAATGGCCTCAGTTAGTGCTGTCAGTCACTGAGTGTGCACTGGCACAGTCAGCTCGTGATGCAGACCGGAGGCCAGAAGAAAAAAAAAAAAAGGAAAAAAAAAAGAGAGAGATTCCCAGGGTGCATCTGTCAGAGGAGGAGGAAACCCTTTAATCCCAAATTCTTTCTCATCAGCACGAGCAAGCAGCTGACAGACTGATGGGCTGATGGAGCAGCATGGAGATGCAGATCTACCAGAACACAGCACTTTGTAGGCAGAATTTAAAGAGACGTACAGTAAAGGCACAGGAAGCTGCATGTGCACTGGCCCTCATTGATTAGCATTCATTACATAAAGACAAGATGCAGCAGAAAGGAACTTTTTTCAATAACATGCAAATTAGACTACAGTTTTTTTAGTACTTAACATGTTGGTTTGAGGAGGCCTATATCACCTCTTATTGTTATTGTTGCTGCTGTAACAGCAGCAGAAGCACTACTGGTCTTACTATTAATAATTGACTTTGAATTTACGGGTTTAAATATTATATTATTGTTTTATAAAACTGAGAAATACTGACAAAAGTGTAACATAAATGTAAGCACACAAATTCAACTTGGGGACAATCCAGACACCCTTGTACTTGGTTGCTAGGTGGTTACTAGGGTGTTTGGGATGGTAACGATAAGAATAAAGCAACAGAATAGTAATATTACATATGTGCCGTTGAGCACTGCACAACAAACAAAACCCTGAGAAAATTTTCCGACACTTAAATCTTTATTCTCTAGTAGCTCACTTCTTGCTGAGGTGGCGTGCGACGTCAGACTTCCTGAAGCCGTCCAAGTTGAAGAGACGTTTGGCAAGGCGTTTGGCGGCCGCCATGTCGGCACGGTGGCTGCCGTTGGTGAGGGTGTCGCTGCTGCCCAGACCCAGCCTGTCACTGAGGTCCTGGTCCAGCTCCGAATCTGTCGCCAGGCGGGCCTTCTCCCTGCTAAGAGAAACAACAAGTGGTTAAAATCAGACTCAGAGAGATGGATGGAGAAGGAAGGGGAGGAAAAATGGGAAATGAAGAACATAATGTCGCAGAAATTCAGGAGTGGAATGTGGGACAAAGAGGGACTGAGGAGGACAATAGATTGGTAAATTGATAAAGCAAGAGAGGAAGTGGTGGGCCACACAGCTACAATAGAAGTCAGTGACCTCCCCTGCACTGACTTTGATACTTTCACAGTATTAGTTTAGCACCTAGATCTGTTTAATAATCAGAAAAGACATAGAAATCTAACTTCACACAATATGGGACCTTTAATACTAATATCTGATTTATGCAGCACTGATCAGTTTCCAGCTGTACTTATGTTTTATGACAAGAATAGTAAAATACATAGGGGGGGACATGAGAACAGGCGGAGGAAGAAAGAGTCGCTGAGCAGAAACATAAAGATCTGTCAAATTAAATAAGATTAGAAAACATGCATGATGAATGGGCAGAGATAAAAGAGGATTAAAAGACATATCGATGAAGAGATGAAACGCAGTGGGAGATTATAATAAAAGTGGAGAGAACAATAATGAATGAGTGCGAATATGCAGGAGTAAACAAAGCCTATATGTTCACATGAATTTAGCCGCAGGTATAACAGAACATATGCAAATCATTTCACCTTTAAGCGCAACATTTGGCATGATTATACACTTTAATAACTGCATTCAAAATCTGTTTTCTTCCAGCTTCCTGGATTTCTGGTTATCACTCCCTAATTAAGCCCCTTCAAAGCATTAACCGGTTCAAAAGTGCCAAACTTATTACATCTGAATTATTCTGTGATTATAATTTAAGCATGTTATGTCACGCTGAGCTAAAAGAGAACTACTTTTCTGCCTTCTGCTAGAATATGGATTAAGACAGAAACGAGGTCTCTGAGTTCATTCACTTAGAATTCGACGTGATGCTGACATTTCCCGCCGCCGTCGAGAGCCGTGTGACCATTCGAGTCGCGCCAGCCCGACAGAGGAAACAATGAGAGTCCGACAGCTGAGAGTTTGTGCTCCGAAAGGCAAGAAACTGCAACACTTCCTCAACAAGCCAAGCTCTCATTTGGATTTCACAGCATGAGGAACAAGCCAAGAAAACCCACAGTCCCAGAGCTTTGCTTCCCACAATTACACATCCTTATACTGCATATGAGTCAGGAAAAATCACACAGGAGCAAACAGTAATTAATAACACAAGCTGACTGCCAAGAAAAGCTACAAAGGTTCAAAGGTCAATGGGATCAGACTTGTTTTAAGCTGCACTTGGAAAACTCACTTTCATTGTGAGGCTTTCTTATAATAGCTTTTTAATCTGGCAAACATATTCATGATTATTATTGTTATATAGAGGATTACCCTCTGGGGAACATGAACGTCTGCATCAGACTGCAAATTATAAAATGACAATCAGGGAACACAGTACAGTGCAGGCACCTGCTTCAGGTGTTACAGTCATTACAGTATCCTGCTTTTCTAACTAAAGCTGTCAAATAAATGAAGTGGAGTGGAAAGAGCAACATTTCCCTGTGAAATGTAGGAGTGGAAGTATAAAGTAGAGTAAAACAGAAATATTCCTAAAGTACAAGTACCTCAAAATTGTACTGCATATAGTACTTAAAAATACTTAATTCCTTTTCACCATTGCTAATACAATTACTTAGCCTTCAGTACACATGTATTTTAATATTGTTCAATTACCCAACCAGATAAAACTACTGAATTCCTGATTGAAAACAAAGAGGGTGCCTCTTAAAAGGTTAATATCGAAAAGGTAAAAGACTAACTAAACCATCACTAAAGACTACTAACATGAAATAATAAACTGGCTAACATTAGCGTCCATCCATAGAAACAGTCTAATTCAGAAACTCTGAAGCTGAGAAAGTAAAGAATATCAATTTAAACAAGTTAAAAAGTTACTGCTACTTACATTTACCTACAGTGTCTCAATTTGCTTGTGCAATGCAATCGTATCACAATATTTTTTTTTTGGGGGGGGGTTCAAGTCTTAATCAGGGGGGTCAGACTCACAGAATATCTGTACAGTACAGTCACTTAGTTTTCCCAAATGAGATCTACTCTGCATCTATACTCCGTACACCTAAGAAGATCATTTGAATTTTCCCTCTGCCCGAACGTGATATTCACATCCTCTTAGAGCCATGTCAGACAGGTGAAACAGGTTCCTGGGTGGACACCTACCTGTGGCAAGACCGCCTAACTGTCAAATACCTCTCCTCTCCCACTGCAGAGGAACCATGACAGCAGAAGACAGATGGCGTCCTCATTGGTGTCCCCTGACCGCCACCTCGCCTCAGACTGCTCGCCCGGCTGCCCCCTCCTCTCCTCCTGGCCTCGTAACCGGAACGCATCCCTCTGGAGTCCAGAGAGCGCGAGCTAGCGCAGAGCAGCACCTGTAGTCGCTCCCGAGAGGCCGGCAGACTTTGACATTCCTCTGCTTGGTTTTGAGTCTGACTGAGACTTCATGTGTCCCCCCCCCCCCCCCCCCTTTCTTCTCTCCTTTCTCACTCTCCCTCTGTGTTTGTTGTCATTTGAGCCTCACAGCAAGCCTCCTTCCCCCAAAGTGGACGAGCTGTTTGTCCTGCAATGCCTCTCCTTCTCTATCTTTTTCCCCGTCTGTTTGCTGTTGTTTCTGTTCTTTCTTTTCACTCCTCCCTCTCTCTTTCTCCCTCCCTGTTCCACTGTGTAAACTCAAACTGTCCCCTGCTGACCTTGGATTCGAAGCATGGCATGAAACTTGGCTTGTCTGTTCCCAAAAAAATTCCCCTCCCTTGTCTTTCTACCCTCCATTCATTCCTCTCTATCTCTCTCTGAGTCTCCAATTATACTCACTACACTCACTTTGCCCATCCTTTGGGTGTTGTACAAATTCTAGTCCACCTTGTTTCTGGTTTGAGCTTTTAGCACACCTTCAGAGAAAACAAAGATACGAGGAGTCAGGTTTAAACTCAATATCCACTGGGCGTGTGCCTCTAAACTGTTTCCTCCACAACTATAACTGCCCTGAGGGGGAGAATAGGTGGCCTTTTGTCAAGGTCTGAGGCCACTGTGGAGTCTGTTTAGAGCATACACTTCACTGGGGCCTGAAGGAGTGTTCATAATCATAAGATTAAGCCGGCACTCCGGTTCAGGCTCCGCCACCTGGTGGCATTGTCTAAGTGCCAGCACAATGCCAAGAGGTCCTGAGATAATTCCCAGAGTCAGCCTCTTGCTTTAAACCGAACCCCCTCTCAGTCCACTGGGCAGCTCTGCACAATGAGCCACTGTCTAATGGTACAGACCATCTGAAAGGGGTGATGTGAGGGAAGGAGGAGGAGGAGGAGGGAGGAGGGAGGAGGGGGGAGGAGCAAGAAGAGGAGGGGGTAGGGGAGTGAAATTCCAACTTTTATCAAAGTATGGACAAGCCCTCAGAAATATTTTCCTCTCACTCCTGGATTCCACCGCTTCAAAGGCTGCTCAGGAAAGTGCGATAAGACCGGTGCTGAGCAAACATTTACACTCACGAGTTCAGTGAGATTTGGTTCTTGTATAAAGAGTTTTATCAGGAAGTTCAGAGAAAAGAAAAGCTTAAGTGTGAGTTTGTGTTTATACACAAACAGAAAAATTAGAAGAAAATGAAGCAGCTTTGGTTTTAAGCTTTCAGAGAATATTTCTACATGAATCAGCTGATAGTTGAGACTGGATTCCTTTCTGAGACACACACACACACTCTCTCTCTCTCTCTCTCTCTCACACACACACCACTAACATACCTCTGACCACCTGCATTAGATTGAGTCTTATGGGGGGGGGGGGGGGGCACTTGTCTGCATTATTGTTGTCCTCTTCTGCCATCTAGTGGTGTAAGCAACAAGGTGACCCAGTGCAGTCACTCTACCTCTGCAGTGCTGTCACACTAAGTTGGGGTGACATTCACGAAGCCCGGAGTCTTCCTCACTGTCACACATAAGCACTGTGACAGACATTTTCACGAGTTAGCAGACACAGACTGTTGTCCCGCATTTCTCTCTGTCTCTCTCTCTCTCTGTCTGCCATACACTGTATCTTGCAATAAGGAGGATATAATATGGATTAGGAAAGCTGCTGTTTTGCTATAAAGTAATATACTGTATACAACCAAAACACAAAGGATTCTGGGTATGAAATAAAGCCTCCTCAACTGCAACTGAGGAGAGTCAGAGTGAAGTCTTTGGGACTCTAGCAGTCAAGGTGAATCCCTCTTTGCTGCAGCAGCCATCTGCCACTGTCTAACATGCCTGCACCTTACACACACACACACACACACACACACACACACACACACACACACACACACACACACACACACACACACACACACACACATACACACACACGGCAGACAGCAGTTGGACCACAAGCTGCCTCCTAGCGACCTTCACTCTGAGCTACTCCAGAATAGCACTGCAGCACTGCTCCGTTCAAGGAGAATGACACAGACAGAGACACTCGTTCGTCTGGAGACTGACAACAGCCCATTAACAAGATCCTGACCTCAGACAGGGGGCAATAAAAACTGCATTAATACTGGATTAAAATCAGAACTGTCATTTGGAGCTGCTTTCTCTGTAACAGCTGTGTGAACAGTTTGTTCTAAGGAAACATGTCGACATAAAACTAGTCTTCCTGTATGATTATTTCAGGTCAGACTGGAGATAAATAGATAAATAAATAAAAGACATGATGACAAATGATATTCAACCACAAACATGACCCAGATTCTTGATGAATCATCACAGCTTAGGTCACCTGTGTTTCAGTTGTCAACACTGTCAGCTACATATTTCACGTCCTGTTTGCATTGGGGACTAGCATCTAATCATCAAAATACAATCATCTAATTGTGCAGGAAAAAAAAGGATGACACCTGAATATTACTCCCACATGTGATAGTAGAACATGTCATTTCAAAGCCACGGGCATTAATCTGCTGCTCCACTCTCAGGCTTTCGCAGGTTTCAGGCTTTCCACCAGATTTCGGATCCTGGCTGCAGGGGTTTGCTCCCATTCAGACACAAGAGCATTAGTGAGGTCTGGCTCACAGTCTGTGTTACAGTTCATCCTAAAAGTGTCGGATGGGGTTGAAGTCAAGACTCTAAAATATCATGGTATGATGTAGAAGACGAATAAGAAGATTTCCCATAATTGGAATAAAGGGGCAAAAACCACGAAAAACAGCCCAGGACCAAATGCACAACCCTGTCCACATACTTCTGGTTATTTGGTGTATTTGAGCACAGGTGATTTTGGCCTCTGAAGCCCTTCTACACTGCTCAAAAAACCTGCTAAAAGCCGCTAACATCAGGCTTTTGTTGTGGTGTTTTTTAAACGGTATATTTGTCCTTTTTTAGGAACCAGGAGTCAAACTTATTCTATACATTGTGTATTATTAAAAACCTGAAACAGCTTGAGGCTTTGTCAGCAGAAAGCAGAACAGTTCAATGTTCAAATATCTGTAACACAACAGAAAGTAACGCCGTACCGCCACTGACATTGTATCTTGAGACACAATACAGTATCATGTACTGGAACTAATGTGCTGCACTAACTCGTCCCACACCTAACTAACATTGTTTTCTCTTCACTCATACAATGGTTTATAATTAAAGTAATTGTGATGGCGAATTTGAATCTGTTCTAATCATGTTGATTTCACCGGTTGAAGGTGAAAGGGGTCACTCTGCAGTTGCTCTCAGCTCTTTGCAGCTTGAACAACTTTCATCTCATTGTTTTGGTTTTTACAACCCACAACTTTACTGTTCCGCTTCAGTGTCATCGCTCTGATCAGCATCTTTTCCATCAGAAGATCTTTACACTACCTCCCCAGCACCAAATGAAAGACAAGGAGAATGTTGGGAACAAATTACACATTTAGCAGTTAAAAAGCCATATATTTCCCCCAGGAGTTGGTCGAGACCAAAACAGAGCTAAAAGGAGAGTGAATTCTGGGTCTTGACAGATTTGCCAGATGGTAGGAAACACGACTTCAAATGAATGATAACAGATGTCTAAATAAGCAACGGTTTGCTATTACATTCAGCACAATCAGTTTTGTGTTTATATCTTGTTGCTCTAGCTATAAGCTGCCAAAAAAAGAATGAACACAGGTTTTAGTGCTGTTCAGACACATTGATATTTACTGTGACTACTTGTCGTGCTAACTCACCTTGGTAAAGAGAAGGACGGGTTGCTGTACCAGCTGCTCCCCAGCTGTGCACACTCTCGTCCTCTGGGCGGCGTGTCATCTGAGCCGCTGCTCAGCCTCTCGCTGGAGGGGGCTCTGGTGGCGTCCGAGTCCCCAGTCATGGTAAAGATAGAATCGGACAGACTGGGTCTCTCGTCGTGTGCCAGCGGGGCAAAGCTGAGCTGCACGATCTGCCTGGCACTATGGCAGACCAGCCCGTGGATGGCAGGGGTTAGCGTGGGCAGGTCAAAGGTCAGGACTGTTTGGGTGCTCGAGGTCAGCAGCTCCTCACTGTCCAGGCTGTTGTATGACGTCCCCTTGGCTCGGTGAGACTCCATGATGCTCTCAAAGTGGCGGCTGAAGGTGTCCTCTGCAGCACATCGAGGACCAGAGACCAAGATGGGGGATTTCAGGGCTGGGTGGTGGTTGTCGAAAAACGTTTCCATTGGCCTGGACAGGGAGGGAGGTTTTAGTAACACTGAAAGAAGACAGCTGTGTTTATAAAGAAGAGACTAAATGTGTAACATCTAGAAAAAGGAACCTCCAACAGCACTGAGTTGTTGTGTATCTTTGATTTGTGTTTAATTTATGCAAAAATGCAACCAAACATGTTTACTATCTACTTGAAAAATAGGTTATGGGTGAGAGCCAAACTCTGGATCTAAATATAGGTCGGCCTCCACCACAGTGTTGTTGCACTTGTATGTGTTTACAGGCTTGAGTATGACTGAGTGTGTGTGTTTCAACTGCTTCTGTTCACCTCTTCAGAAGGTGTCCAAACACCTCCGGCTTCTCCTGAGCTGCATACTGCTGCTTCCTGTTGTCTCCTTGCATCCGCACACTGGCCCAGCTCACCATTTCTTCCTCTTCCTCTTCTTCCTCCTCGTCATCTTCCTCCTCTTCCTCCTCCCTTCCACCTCTTCTCTCCTCTACCCCCTCCCCATCTGTCCTCCGATAAGCCAGACCCCCCAGAGGGCTGCTGCCTGTCCCTGAGGTGCCCTGCACGCTTCGGTTACTCCCAAATGCAGAGTCGGCGTCGTCCTGCTCAGCCAGTAGCACCTCGTCTATGTCCGTCTCGCGGTAGCAGCGCAGCGGGACAGCGTCCAGGTCGGTTTCTGAATACTTGAGCGTCCGGCGAATTATCCCGGTTTTGGGTGATGTCCCGATGATGGCTGGGGGAGGGGTCACCAGCTCTACCTCCACATGCTGCACCTCATGATTGGCAGAAAGCAGAGGCAGGGAGGTAGGGGGAGTCGGGGTGGGAGACTCACTGGAGTTACCACTGGGAGGAGCTGTGGAGTTTTCCAGAGAGTCTGCAGATAAAGAAAATGAAATATAAACTCAATAATTTGACTTAGATTTGACTTGTACTTAGATCATTTTCTTCCTTTAATAGGAGGTCCAGTATCCTAAATGACAAGTAAAAGTCTGGGCTGGGTATTGAACCTTAATACTTTTTTTTGGTACTGACTCTCTTGGAAACCTTTTTTATCTATTGTATTTTGATAATATGATCATAATGTTTTGAATTCCTTGCATTTATAACAAATTGTTGGACTGTATAGTGAAATCAGAAACAACCTCAGATATAATTTTGCTTAATTTAAAGGATAAGGCTGGTGATATTCTGTCTTTTTCTAATTGTCAACAAATCCCATGAAAATACTAAAACAAACAATGTGTTAGTCTATCTATGAAAACTTTCTCTAACCTGTCTGTGCAGCTGTCAGCCCAAAGTCCTTTCAAGATACAATTCTTTAAAAACAAGTGACAAGGCAAACAAAAAAGGCAAAGTAATACTCTAAAACAGCTAGTCACTGTAGCTTTTGGCAAACGTTAATCGAACAGGAGTAAATAGTACGTTTGCTGGGGACTATTTTCAGCAGTGGATTAATACACATTTGGCGTTCTAATGAGTATTTGGGCAGCAGGATGGTGTGTGTAAGTGAGGCAAAATAAACTACAATGTGTGCACACATGGTGATGAGGGAACATGTCACATGTCAACATGCAACTCTATGGCACAGAGGAATAAGATATATCAGGCTTTGGATACACACTATACTTGTTTTGGGTTTTTCATGGGATTTGTTGACCATTAGAGACAAACAACAATCATGTAAATTTTAGACAGTATATTATATAGCCAATTTTCTTCTAAGCTTATGTGCAGTAACTACAAGAAATTGAGGTGGTCATGTTCTTACTTTTCTCCCCCCTGCTAGCAGCCTCCTCAGCAGGGGTCCCGAACAAAAACTCCCACTTGGCACGTGCGATCCTCTGACAATGGAGCGAGGGCACAGGCACCGCACAGGCGCTATCCGTCTGAAAGACAGAGAAAAAACAGAGGCTAGCTCTGCAGTGCAGCATGGAAGGAAAAGTCGGACATTTACATTTTTTCACTTTCTTGCAGAGTTAGGAGAGATCATTACCACGCTCATGTCTGTGTGTTAAGTATGGAGCTGGGAGCAGGGGGAGACAGCTAGCTTGGTCCTCTCCAGAGTTAAATTAAAAAACATATATATATATATATCAACACATTAAAAGCCTATTAACTAACATGATGCATCTATGTGTCAAGCTAACTGTTTCCCCCTGCTTCCAGTCTTTCTGCTAATCTAAACTAACTACCTCCTGGCTCCATCTCCATACTTAATGCATAGACGTGAGAGTGGTGTACAATTTCTCATCAAACTCTCGGCTGGAAAACTAAAACTTAAAATATTTATTGCTTGAATTGACTGAGAGTCTGATACAAATTTGACTTGATGAGAATATGGACACCATTCCCTAGAGCCAGCAGGTGCTCAGTTAGCTTAGTATAAAGACTGGAAACAGGTGCAAACAGCTAGCCTGGCTCTCTCCAGAGTTAAATTTAAAAATACATCTACCAACACCTTAAAAGCTAACATGATGCATCTTTAATCAACACAAAGACAGAAAAGTTACACATTGTGGTTTTACAGGGAGTTATGTGCCAAGCTAACAGTTTTCCTCCGGCTTCCAGTCTTTACGCTATTCTAAACTAACGATATCCTAGCTTTATCCCCACACTTTGTGATCGGACATAAGAGTGGTGTCCATTTTCTCATCAAAGTCAGAAAGAAAAGCAAATGTTTTTTTGATAGAATTAACTGAGAGTCCGATATTAATTTGATTTGATGGGAATATCGATACCTCTCACTTGTCTTTGAAGTATTAAGCATATGTATGAAGCTAGAGCCAGCAAGCACTTAGTTAGCTTAGCTTAAAGACTGCAAACAGGTGGAAACAGCTAGCATGGCTCTCTCTAAACATCAAAAATACACCTACCAGCACATCTAAGGCATTATTTTTTTTGTCGCTACACAAACCAAACTGTACAGTGGATGTGTAAACTGTGGTTTTTAAAGTAATACAGCCTAAGATTTAGATGAGCTGGTACATTTTTTAATGTTGGACAGATCCATGCTAACTGCTAAGCTAAACTAGGCTTAGGCCTTACCGTTGTGTCGCAAAGTGCGGCTCCTGTCGCCTAGCAACCTTGACAGCATGTAACTTTTTTCACAAAAACTCGATGTTTTAAGGCCCTTGGTTTCAACAGTTGTACCGTTAGCTGTTTAACTAAGCTGAAACCCATGAATCATCTGACATTTAAAAGTGAAATCCTCAGGCTCTCTGTCTGTGTTTTTTTGCTGCCATATTATTTTCATCATTGGCAATGATTCTTGGGCCTTAAAGGATCCACCTGTTGGATTTCTCTTTGACCACGAAAAGAAGGACTGCATTTGAAGGAGCCTTCGAAATGGGACAGCTTTTTGCACCACTGTGATGCAATCGCTCTTCAACTGCAGCCCTTGAAGGACGCAGCCCCTGATTAGGATTTTGGGTGTTAATATTCTAATCAACTCTCAGCAATAAAAGTGAAATAAGCATATTTCCCTAAATATGAAACTATTTCTTTAACTCTACAGTTTCTACATTATATAAAATTATGCAATTTATCAAAACAAAAAGTGCATTTTGTAGCTTCGTAGCTTCACCCAGTACTCACCTGTATTCCTGAGGTGGCAGCCCCTGTCTCGTTGCTCTGGTGACTGGACTGGCTGGACTCCGGGGATACACAGTCCCTGTCCCCCAGGCTGCCCGTCACCCCACTGGAGCTCCGCGAGGACGACCCTCCCATCGCTCCGTTCTGCTCTGCCTCTGGAGGCTCCTCAATCCTCTGCAGGCGAGGCTGCTGCCCAGCCCTATATCCCTCCACCTCATTGCCTTCTCCTTCCTCTTCATCACAGCCCTCGTCCTCCTCTGGGGAGTCCAGCACCACTGGTCCCAGAAGTAGGATCGCTCTCCTCCTCTGCTCGGCCCGTTTCTGCTGAGCCGTGGGGCTGAGTGGCCTGCGACGTTGGCTTAATTGACGATTAGGAGGTCGGTCATTGTTGGACCCAAATCCAGGCTCAGGGCTTGGCCTTGGGCTGTTCTCCACATGAATCCCCCACAGCTGCCTGGTGGTCCAGCTGACCGGCGCCTCCTCAACACTTTGATTGATAAAGAGCCTACGAGCTAGCTCAGTGCAATCCCCTTTCTCAAAACAGCTCAGGTCTCCTCTCCTGTCCAGGCTCGGGGACCATGAGTCTCCGGTGTACTGTGGGGTCTGGCGGCGGTGCAGGGTGGGGGTATCTGGTGCTCGGAGCTCAGCTTGGAATAGCCTGGGGTCCCTAATGGGAGAGCTGAGCTCAGTGGGAGGATGAGAGGGACGGAGAAAACGTGAAGGAAGGGCGGGTGAACTCTGAGCTGCTGATAAAATTGAGCTCTGATGCTGGGATTTCTGAACGCAGACCTCCTGGTGAGTGTCATAGTTATTAAGGGAGTTTGTATTATGTGAATGTGACAGCAAGATCGAGTTTTCAGGCTGGTGCGAGTCTGTGTTGTCAGTTGCTGGCGTGTGTTGATCATTTAAAGGGATGTTCATCTTAAGCGTTTGCTTAGACTGTTGTGCATTTGGAGGCGAATTGTGAAACTCTCCAGAGATCGAGCTGCTTGCATGCTCGCCTAAAGCATTGTGCAATGAGGACCTTCTTGCCTCGGTGAAAATAGAAGATACTTTGGTAGCCTCCTCTGCTAGCCGACGAGCAACTTCGGGGCTGTGAGCTGGAGAGGAGGATTTACTGTCGCTTAACTGGTTCAAGCCCTCGACTACATTATTGCCAAGTTGAAGAATTGCTCCCTGCGGTGAAGTGCTCCTGTTGAATGTCCTCCTTTGAATGTGTCTTTTGGTGGCTGGGCTTCCGGCCACAGCTCTCTCCTCTCCTGACCAGTGAAGAAAGCTCTGGGGCTCCACACAGGACCCAGGCCTCGCACGAGGAGACTGCCTGGACTGGGAGGACAGCTGGTCTGACGCCGGGCTGCGAGGCAGCCCACAAATAGCCTGGCTCCTATCTGTGACGTGGTCTTTGGGGTTTACGTTGATGTTTTGCCGCTGAACAGGCGACCCAGCCCAGGACTGACAGCGTGGCTGTTGACTGTAGCGTGAGAATGAGGTGTGCTCAAGTGCATGGGCCAGTTTAATCCTCAGTAAAGGGGAGCCAAACTCCTCCACAGCCCTTTGGGTAGCTGCCCTGCCGATGGGGTCCAAGGGTGGTTGGCGAAGGCCTGGAGAGAACGTCTGCTGGTGACTTCCTGGTGACCGGAAAGTCAGTTTGGGACTGGAGCTGCACGATGAATCAGGACTCCCAAACCAAACTGGGTCACTGAGCCGTTTCCGAAAGTGGGAGGGGGTGGATCTTTCCTCTCTGGTCCCTCTCTCGTGCACAGAGTTGCGTGGGCTGCCCACGGTCTGCACATTGGACTTCTCAACATAACTGAAGGTGACCACTGACCGCTTCCCGCTGCTGACTTCCTCCTCGTTTAGCCTCCGACAGTTGGGAGGCGTGTGAGGGATGGTGACCTTTCCTGGAGAAGAGTGGCTGGCAGAGGCTCCATCACAAGGTAAACTCCAACGTTTGCTGACCGTCGGTGAGCTGCTGGCTTGCTGGAGCTGAAAGCTGACGGTGTTTCGAGATGGAGATTGGCTGTGTGTGCAGTCCTGGACCAGACGATGAGCCGCGGAGGACTTGGTGACTGCCTGGCAGGTCGTCTGGGTCGCCAGCTGAGACAGGAGCTCTGCAGGACTGTCCTGAAGTGCACGCCCTTGAGCAATCCCTTCTTCATTTCCCCCAAATGTCCCTTTCCCTCCATTCTGATCTGGGGCAGACCTCACTTCCACATACAGATGAAGGACTTTTCCAGACTGGGACATGACCTCCTCTGGGCTCGTAATGAGGACAGAGAAACAGAAATGGAACAGGGAGTGTGTTGAACAGAGCGAAAGAGACAAAACAAAGGAGAGATTCTTCTTTGTCCTCTTCTTCTTTTATTTGTCGGTTTGGTTTGTGTTTTTCTGCTGGTGGTGCTTGTCAGTTTATTTTTAGACGGTCTTTCTTCTCCCTTCCAGAGTATGTGTGTGTGTGTGCAGGGCAGAGACACACAGGTGGACAGGCCAGAGGACAAACATGCCCGTGGGACGCCTCTAACAGCTCCCTATTCTTCATACCTGTGAATGAAAGAAAGGAGGAGTTGTTATCTTTTCTATTCTCAGAGGACACAAGATACACACAGGATGTGTGAGTATTTGTGATGCAAACATCCACACTGATATTTAAGTATAAAGGTGACAGTGTTCTATGTCAGAACTGCTTGTCGGATGGTCAAATAGCTCCAGAAACCTCCTCCACACCTTTCTGATGTCGGATTGGGGGTTTTGGGCTGTGTCCGACAGTCTCACCCACTTCAAGCCGTGATTGGTCAGCTGTGCAGAGGTGAGAAAGGATCCAGGGACTGAACTCTCTAGCTCCCTTTTTTTTGTTAACTACACAACTGTTTCTGTCATTTTTCATGTGAACAACAATATCTAAAAAATATGTACTGTTATCTCCGTATCTAAACGGTATCTATCGCTATCTATCTCTACGACAGCCAGACTTTCATGCCCCCTTTGAGTGTCCATTCAGATCTGCTATAAACACCTTTGACTTTAAACATGTCATCAAAGATCCTCTATACAGAAGATACCGCATCACAGGCAACGCCAATGGTATGAATTGGGAAACAGTTCCGGTCTCCTAAGTGGGCGTTGTGCCTCAACCCCTCCCTCAAGCCAAGGCAACTAGCATGAAATGTGACAGTAGCTAATATTAAAATCTATCCCTGTCTCGGGCATTTTTAACACTAACTTATGGATAACTTGTCCCTGCCAAAAGAATACAACAATAGATGACACAACATGGACACAGTACTGTTTTTTTAATCTACTAATGACATCTGATCAGCCCAGTACAAAGTCATGTCAGTTTAATAGGCCAATAATCTGTTTCAGCAATTGGTAACCAATGAAACAAGTTTTATTTAAGTTTTAAAGTTTAATCCATGGTTTCACGTATAAGTAAGTCAATCCAAAAATAACTCTGGTCCATCTAAACTTCTGGTTATCGGTTGGCAAACGATGTCAGCAGTTGACGGATCTTGCGAGAGTATGGCACTGAGACAGAAGCAGGTCTCCAATAAAGTAAATTTACAATTTACAAAATTCTGAAATTTTTCCTCTTGTCAACAACTCAGATGAAAAGACCAAAACCAACAATGCTTTTTTTCCACCTCTCAATACTTCATTCATATTTTTAATTATTATGAACATGTAGTTTCCTAAAACAGCTGGACCCCTTAGTTTTTAAGAAATAAAAAAGGTAAAGGTGTGCTCAAATATAGTCAATGTAAAGATGCAAGTATACCTAGACAGTCATGAGTTTGCCCTGGATGGCGTGAACTGAGGCGAAGACATGTCTGCATGTTTGAAAATGTTTAAATTTTAATTTCAGTTGATGAACTTAGAGAGACGAGAAGAAAAAAAGGAGGGGGACTGGAAGAAAGCAAGAAAGAAATGCAGAGAGTCACATTAATGCACACAAACACACTCCATACACACTGGTCGGAGCACATGTTGCTAGCAAGCTAACAAATAAATTATATTATTATACGTATGTTATTATTAGCACAGAATATAAAAAAGTGAGTTAAGAATTTTGCTTTGGAATAACTGCATTTACAGTAGAGAATATTCCCAGCAGCAGGACTGTATGTGCGACCGACTGGGGATTTGTTTGCAATAAGAGAAATATAACAAAGTCAGCTGCAATTTTTCTCTCTCCTGGCAGCTTGTTCCTTAAAGCCCCATAAATAACATGAACACACAAACCGAGGGCTGTTTGACGTGTTAATCGACTCCCGGCTGATAGACAATAATAGTCCTGTAATCCTGTATCTTTGAGCAGAGTAACAGTGCTCCCTCTGCCAAAAACAAAAGAGAAGCAAAATGCTAAAGCTAGCCAAGGTGCAGCAGTAAAAACTGGGGGACAGCCTCGCTTTAGATCATTACAGCTATTTTACACCTCATTAAAAGTATAGATATAAGGGTGTACTGTACACACTAAAACTTGTTCAAGGCCAACTGATTGGATTCTGTGTCATTAGAGCAAATTGGTGCCTGTTGCTACAGAGATGTGCAACATAAGGGCACCGCTGTTACAAATACATTCACTTGACGTCAGCTAAAGACAAATCAGGTTTGGCTAGAATATTGTACACTGAAACCCCAAACTTTTATTTACAACTTCAGACTTTAAGTTAATTTGTTTTAAGTGGATTTAACTGTAAATGCATTGAATGACTGTGTCCTGTAAGTGAGACTTCTCCTTTAAAAGACTTGTCATCTACTGCAGGTCATCCTACAACCTAACTACAATACACTCAGCAGGTGCACATATTGTGCCTCCACTCTCCTGTCCGGATCATTTTCTCTAGGATGTAGTGAGATGTGCAGCTGATTCATGGTGTCAGAGAGCGACATTATATCCCTCACTTCCTCCTCTCTGCCTCGCCATTGATAAGACCCGGTGACGGCGGTGGATCTAAACTGTGAATGAAACAGTTCAACACTCAGGGTCCAGCCAGAAATGAATCTATTAAAGGGACTGAGAGAATGAACGAGTCTTGAAAAATCAGATTAGCCTGATCTGATTTTATTTTGGGTACAGCTGTGACAATGATACTGAGACATATTCAAATGACTAACAGCTTAGTTAATTCCTCGCCGCTTTAGTCTCTCTCTACCCGGATCTGTCAGACCTCAAGTTCACTCAGATCCAGGACACCCGCAGCGCTCAACCACATCATGCACCAAACACCCGACTCTCATCACAGACACGTCTTTGTTGCTGTGCGTTTAAATCCTTTGCTGGAGCCACTTTTTTCTCTTTGTCGAGCTAAATCCCCTTGGCTCTGACTCAACTCAGCCGAGCTGAATTCTTTCCCAATTGTCACCATTCTGTTACGTGTTCGTGCAGAGCAACTTTCCACGCCAATAAAGCCAGCGCACACAACAGAACTCTTGTGTAAGAAGAAGTAAAGAATTACTCAAATGAGGATGGTGAGCTGCACACTGCTGCCAGCAGCGACAGATTGGAGTTGCCTTATGGTGGCGGTGGGAGAGAACGTGTGTGTCGATAATTGAAGTTGACAGAACAAAGGGAACTTGTGAGGGAGTTGGCGCACAAGGCGATCGACTTTCCCTCCTTGACCCCAACTGATGTTTCTGCCCCGGCTTCAAAGAGACCAAACTCAATCCCACCGATCTTTCCAGCATAGCAAATTCTCCCTTTAGCTCTTTAATTATTTTACCCAGCCTCTCTGCCTGGAGTCACAGCGACATTTGTTTGCAGCAGTATGACCCTGACACCCACTAATGGCGTCTAATTAATTTTCTATTCACTGTGATAAGAACATTAGTAAAAAATGAAATGCAATAAAAAAAAATTTTCTCTTTCTTTGTCTCTAATTAGGAAACAACTCTCACTGCCTCTCCATTTGTCACACTCACATCTTTCTGCCGTGTTCACACCTCAGGGCCACTGTTCCCACGGCTACACCATTCACAAAAACAGCCCTTTGTCCAGCTGTTGGTGGCCACGCGGGGCCCCATTGTCTGTAAAGGTGTGAGGAAGACGAAGTGGCTCCTTGGCTGCATCATCATAAATGTGACAGAGCTGATGAACGAATGAAGCCACAGGGTTAGATTTGTTTTTTTCTGAGACTATAAGTGCTGCACACTAAGCGGTCATTCAGACAGGAAATGGCAAAAAAAAAAAAAAAGTGCTGGCTGGAGTCACAGAGGTAAATCGTTGCATAGTGATTGATAATATTATGCAGAAGGATTTTACATCTCTGGCTGCAGCTCTTCATGTAATTTTCAAGCTCTGCTCTGATTATACAGTTGTTTTCTGACGTACAACACACAAGACTGATTCACTTTCTGTTGCATGGTTTGTTTCCTGAGTATAGAAAAGCTTTTTTTGTCTATTGAACGCAGCCTGAGGTGGCTAAATTTGAAAATGCATCTTTTTCTTTTTCCTTCTCTTCTTCTTGTTTCGACACTCAAAACTAGATAGATCTGAAAACACTGTCCTCCTTTCATTTTAGGGTGGAGAAGGAAAACACCGTATGCCTCGATGCCATTGTCTGACAACAGAAACAGGAATATGTAAATCAGAAGAAATAAATCTTGAGTTCAGCAGAATTAAAACGCAGTAAAGGTGATCACAGACAACAGGAGGTAGAACGTACGACTGAACTGATCATCTGAAACTTTGATTGCGCAGTTGTGATGTTTCCAACTAAAACAAATTACAGATTTAACGGTTTTCCTATTGTTTTGGTGTTTTAGTGTGGACAGAGCGCTTTATGATTTAACACAATCACGTGCAACATTTTCACATGTTCACATTTAACCATCTTAGTGCAGACGTAGCCTTGGCCACATCATAAATGTGACAATATGGTCGAGGGACAGATCCACAGGGATTATCATTAGATATTATTTGTCATCTTTGTCGCCACGGAGAGAGAGGAAGCCTGTGATACAGGATCGATTTTTGGAAAGAAGCGATGAGCCTGAACTTCATTTGTGCCCCTTTTTATCCAGGAATTCATCACGCAAGACGTTGATGGGAGCACGAGAGATAAAGGCAGGTGAGAGAAAGAGCACGAGAGACAAATGGCTGTTAGAGAGATGGAGAAAGCAAAAGAGAGAAGTGTGAGGGTGTTGGGAATGTGAAGGAGAGAGAGCTGTGCTGGCAGTCAGCCAGAGTGATGGGAGTGTAGAGTTACAGGAAGGCTTGTGTTTCAAGATCGAACACAACCCTCTTCTCC